CCCCAAAACCCCAAAACCCCAAAACCCCAAGTATTAATTATATAAAAGACTAAGAGAAACCACATTTAAAATATAAAAAAGTAATAAAAATATATATATAAGTGGAAACATATAAACTATCAAAAATGTTTTTAAAATAATACTAATTAAATCTTCATTACTATCTCAGAAAAGTCAATAAGAATGAATATTTTGGATTAAAGCAGTGTATTTGTAGACAATAGCTCCTACATGCTTGCTAAAAACAGTGAATCTGCAAGTTAAATGATAAAGAACATAGCGAACATTGCCATTCCCGTGATCATTGGACAGTTCTTCTCGCTTTTTGTGGAAATGATCAATGTTGCTTACGTGGGCAGACTAAACGATCCAGCCAAGGTGGCAGGTGCTGGTCTAGGTAATATGTACGTCAACATTTTCTGTCTCTCTATCGTTTTCGGACTAAATGGCGCAATAGCCACACTTGCATCTTAAGCCCACGGTAGCGGAAACGACAGAAGAGCTGGTCTATACTTGAACAGAGGCAGAATTGTGATAGGACTAGCTTTCATTCCAATTATTTCAATTTTACTGTGCACTGAAAAATTCCTTATAATGATCAAGCAAGACGAGTAAGCTGCAAACTATGCTTAGACCTATGCATACGGTTTAATTCCAGCTATGATCTTCCAATCTCAGTTCGATGCCACAAGGCAATTCTTAAACGCCATGCACAAGACCAAGGTTGTGATGATTGTGAATATTTTGACCAGTTGCTTGCACTTTTTATGGTGCTATCTACTAGTAATGGTGGCTGGCTTGGACATCAGTGGAGCTGCTCTGGCTACAACCATCACCTATTTCTCCAACTTCATTATTGTGACCATTTACTGTGCCAACAGCCCAGATCTTAAGGATTCCTTCTTCTTCCCAGACAGAGAGACATTCAAGGATTTAGGAGACTATCTAAGAATTGGCATTCCATCAGCTAGTATGCTTTGCCTTGAATGGTGGAGTCTTGAAGTACTAGCTCTAGTGGCTGGATACATCAATGTGATTACTACTGCATCTTTTGTTATTATTGTGAACACTTTTTGTGCTATGGGAATGTTTGCGTTTGGTGCTGGTATTGCTGCAAGTGTTTGCGTTGGCAAGGCTGTTGGTGAGGGAGACCATCACAAGGCTATGCAATACTCAAAACTCATAGTGATGATGACTTTCGTAATGGTTATTATACTCTCAATTTTCCTATTGCAGGCTAGAACTATAATAGCCATGGTATTTACAACTGACGAATAAATGATTGATCTGATTTCTAATGCCTATTAGATCTTAGCAGGGACTTTGATACTGCACGGTCTAGGTCTGGTTTAAGGTGGAGTTCTTAGAGGGCTAGGTCTTTAGTCCAGGGGTACAAAGGTTGTGTTGTTTGCTTTTTACTTTGTTTCTTTGCCTTCAGCTTACCTTTATGGTATCTATTTTGATATGAAGCTAGATGGGTTAGTTCTTGGAATCACCTCAGGTAGCTTTACCTTCGCCTTACTTAACTTCATCATACTTAATTTTACGATTTCTTGGAGGAAAATAGCCAGAGAAATTCATCATAAGATGAAAGAAGAGAACATAAACAATCACCTTAGTAGTTATAAAAGTGTCCCGACTAGTCCTGGATTTACTTAATAATACTAGACAAGATAAAATTAAGATGGTTAAATGATTACTATCAATATCACTGAGAGATAAGACACTGAATGCAGTAATAATAACCCAGCAACAGGAGTAAACGAGAGCCCAAATCTATCTGAAAAGCAAAGAAAGAAGCATAACTTAAAAGAACCACTCATTAATAATATGGATTGAATGTACTTTCTATAGTTTAGGATTTTGCATAAACTTCAGCTTATTCTCTTGAAGTTTTATATTATCTAATTAAGCTGTTCATGTCAATTGAAAAACCTGATCAGCTAAATTAATTTTCTAATTGTCTCTTTTTACCCACTTAAAAGTAAATTTTCAATGCTGGGGTTTTGGGGTTTTGGGGTTTTGGGG